GCTTTTGATCAATCAATATTGCCCATTTATTTATCCCGATTCTTCATGCATAGCTCTTTATTTGTTAGGGTTTCTTTTCGATAGAAGCAATGCTTTCATTTATATCTTGTTATTTTTGACGGAGTTTGTTTGATGTTTTTATCATAATGGGCTGTTTGGTATCCTATATCGGGCATGTTTTGAGCAAGTTTCAAACGATTGGTTAAATCACACTATGTACTGGATTAATGGATTCAAGACTTTATCTTTACCCAATTCTTAAATCCTGAAATAATAGTGAAACAATTTTTCAGAATTAACAAGAATTAATGATTATACATATTTCAGATTTAAATCCTCTCAGGATTTACTAGATCCAAATTTATATGATTTACTTACTCCTGAAGAGAGCGAGTAATGCAATGGATATGGCTGTATTTGAGGTGGATTTTATAATGATTATTTTATTAAGTATGGGGGGCTGTAGTGGAACACAATATAAGTGATTGGAGGGCTTTGAAATGGTGGAGATTTAAGTGTGACCAAAACCTAGCAAGAGATAGTGCGGTTTGGGCTAATTTGTAGGCGGTAGATGAAGTTTAAGGGTGCTAGGTGAGGAGATACTATATATATGTGTTCTATGGATAGCTAGTGCGGTTTGGGCTAATTTGTAGGCGGTTGATTTTATATGAAGTTTAAGGGTGCTAGGCGAGGAGATACTATATATATGTGTTCTATGGATAGCTTATGATTCTAGGAAAAGGATGCAAATGTTGTTAGAAGGTATGATGTGATGTAATTGATGTATGGAGGTGAAGAAGGATGGATGGTTAGGTTATTACATATTTTGGCTAACTTGATAAGGTTGGGGATAACAAGGAAATAAAGTGTTGGAACTTGGATAGAAAATCTAGAATACTTAAGAGAGATGTAAGGTCAAGAGAGCAATAAAAAAATCAAAAGAAATAAAATTAAAATAATAAAGATAAATGAGGGGATTATTTTAGGTCATCTAATTAAAAAATAAAGGAATATCAACCAAACCTTTCTAAGGAGGAAGAATATTTATTTAATCTGATTTTTTCAATTTAATGTCATTTTCTTATAGATTATATCATTTTTTGTAAGTATTATGTATTATGAGAAGTTGATGAATTCAAAGGATAATTAAATTATAGTACTGCACTTTTGAATTTGTTTTTAATTTCGTAGGTCCATATTTGAAATTAAAGATATTTGATTCCATTCAATAGAGTTCTAAGATGGTCAACCTTCTAGAATTCTCGAAAGATAACTTGGTTCGAACCAAACTTGAAATTTTTAATTTTGAGCAGAGGTCAGTTTGCTAAAACTTGACTTGATATGACCTATTTTTGTTTTTTTTATTTTAGCATGTAGTTATCATTTGCTTGCCTTGAAAGAAAGCTCCTTGTCTAACTTGGTATGAATCATTCCTTATGTAATAAAAAATATGAATATTCATATGCATAACTAGTAGAGATTTATTTCTTTTTATTGAATTCATTTCGTCAAGAGCTCATTTTTTTCAGTATTTTCTTATGATTGATTACATTTTTGTAGAAATTAAGGTTTGTAATGTTTAACTAACATGGATTAAGGCAAATCAGTCTGCCTTCGGGATGACAAGATATACGTTAGACATATGGATTTACATTTGTATGCTTCATATCTCAATCATTGTAGATGATACTATGGTATGTCTTTTCTTTTGTGCAGATTTTGAATAAGCTTCATTCCTTGTCTTCAACAGTTTTGAAGGTACCGAGAAGATGTGATATTTGTAGAGCAAGCACCTTCCAGTACGTATCTATGCTTTGTGCTCAACTTTTGCTCATCTTATACACGTAGCTTTAATTTATTTATTGTGTTCCTTTTAGTGTATGTCTCTCATCTGGCTTTTTAGGTTCATTTACTTTTTCCAACGGAAGTACTCTTGGCAATGCCGTCAGGAAAAAAAAAATGCTTGAATGAGTCATTTTTTGCGCTCATCTCGCTTAACTATATGTTTCTGTTTTTTTTTTTTGTTTTGTCCCACATATCCCTTCCTTTGATAACTATATGTTTCTGTTTTTTTTTGTTTTGTCCCACATATCCCTTCCTTTGTTGATACTGATATGTGGATCATTACTAATAGGTGTTCTATCAATCACCTATGTTTACAATTTCGGTGTTAGATCTTAAAATAATTGAAGAGATAATTTTATTAGGATTTTAATGTCTTTTTTCTCCAAAAAATTAAAAAATTGGTGATTGTAATTCTTAGATAAAATTGCTGAGATTTAAGAGAATATTGTTAGGAGTTCATAGGTGTGGTGCTATCAGAATGCTAATCGTAAATCATAAGTAGGAGATCAAGGCATTGAAAGCTGAATTGTGCGATTCAATTTCAGATTACAACAGAACAAGAAGGAATTAAAAAATTTTAAACTTTTTGGATAAGTTTGTATTCAAATGTAAATTTAGTTTGGATATTTTTTATGGGAATGCCACATTGTTTGAACCTATTTATGCTTGTTATTATAGATAAGCTTTCTTTCTTGTGGACATTGTTTAGGCATGTATAAGGTTATTTCCCTACTATATTTCACTGAAAAAAGGCTTGAAATCCTGCAGCAATTAATAAAATCAATGAGAACTCTACCTACTTCCCTTAAATCCTCCTCTTTCTCCTGGATTGAAGCCTTCGACTCGCAGGGTCATAGTTTTTGGGTCATATAGCTATCTGGAGCATGAAAAACCTCGGTGTGATTGTTCTTTTTTGTAGCCACTAATTCATGATTGTTTTGAGAACGGCCTTGAAACAAAATCAAGGATTTCTCTCACACCACCTTTGTTTGCAATACCCTATAACTAGCTACTCGCTAGAACCTGCTATTGCTGTATCTTGATGCCGCTCAATTTCTGCAATTGTCATTGCTTGTGTTGTGTTGCTTGTCATATTGTTGTCGTATTTTTTTATGTGCCGTTTGTCTCCTCTGCTACTATTTGTTATGGTTGCTTCTTTTCTGTCATTGTGCTCAACTTACTCGTTGCTCGGTGAGAAAATAGACAAATTGCGTGAACTAAAAAGAAAAAATCCTGAAACATTTGAAAAATATTTTTGGGGCCTTTTCTTGTCTCTTATTATTGGTTTATATAGTAATGTTTAGAGGTTAGTTAGGGATCAAGTTGATATTAGAGAATTGATTTTATCAATGTGGTACAAATGAAGAAACGGTTTAAAAATAAGGGAAGCCGCTTGTATTGAAGACACATAGGAAGTCAGGAAAGAGAGAAAAATTGGAAAAAGGAGAATTCATAGCTAGCAACATTGCCACCACAAATCTATGTTGCACGAACACTCCTAGGTAAGGAGCCGTGCAGTGTTGGACATGTATCAGACACGAACACGACTTTGACACGATCGGGACACGTGTCAGACACAGTACAAAAATGCCTGACTTAAATAATATTAAAAAAAAGGGACACGTGAACACGGGTGTCCTAAATTCCGACATGTGTTTCCTTAATTAATTAAAAAACAAATTCGAAAATATATATTTTTATGATTAAAATAAAAAAAAATTGTAAAATTTAGGAATGATTTGCATACATACCACTCAATTCTCATGTTTTTAGAATCTAACACCAAAATTTTCATTTTTTTCATATATGCTACCTTACATATGTATAATAATTAAAAAAAACTATTTGATTTGATTTGATTTATATATTTAGATGTGATATGAAATATTTGGGTGACATAAATGTAAAAATCAAAATCAAATTTTAAGTGTAATATGTAAATACATAAGAATTCGGTGGTGTATATGTAAACACCTCAAAATTTACAATAAATGCTACTCAGTCTCACGGGAATATGGGACCCATTATTAATTTATTTCTTATTTCGTATTAGATTTTATGTTTTAGCTTTTAAGATGTGGGATGTTGTAGGAGATAAATTTGAGACCCTTGATAATATAGGGAATTTGGAGATTGCAAACATTTCTCTTAATGAGCTAGAGTTAGAATTTATGATATTTAATGATATGATGATAATGAATGTGAACTGTGAAGTAGAAGTATATGCCAAAGAAAACAATCATCATTTTATTTCTTTTAATGAATTGATGTAGTTAAATTTTAACGTAATACAAGATAATATAAATTCTTAAGCTTGCATTTTATATGTCATAAATTGAAGATATATCCATGGGCTTTTTAGTTTTATAAGTTAATGTTACTAACTCTTCTCTTTTATTTATTTGACATATACATATATTTTTTTAATAATTTTTATTATAAAGGCATGTCTGACATGTGTTCGTGTCCAATATTTTCAATAATCAACGTATCTCATGTCTATGTCATGTCGTGTTTGTGTCTCCCTGTTCATGCCCGTGCAACATAGTTTGAGGGGGAGTTTCTAACTCTGTTGTAGTGCACAACTAGATGAGAAAATGGAGATGGATTGTTTGGATGGTAAGCATCACTGGACTTCGCTTCCACCGCAATGGAGATTTTGGCAAAATTACAAATGTGACGGGGCCATTGCTTTCAGTCCTATGTTCTGCGTTTGGTATTGATTTCTCTTTCGATTTGCTCATCGGTTGGTAGCTTCTCCCCTTTTTTTGGAACTAATGAGGTTATATTCAAAAACTTCTATTATTTTAAGAGAACGAATTTTATAATACCTTTTTTTTTAATATTACTTTTAAAAAAATCAATAGTAAAGCATCATCAAACGAGACCTTAATATGAAAGTTTTGATGACAAATTTTAAAATTTTTATCAGTAAAATTTGATGGTAACAATTTAACCTTTTATTTAGAACAAAAAAAAATCACTAATGATATTTGCAAAGACACATAAAGGGGAGAGGACATAAGTATTCTCCATTTTTTTCATTAGATTTCAAGCAAAAGTGTTCTATTTATTTTAAATTAAACTTCCTTTTAACAAGGGGGTTTAACAAGGGGTGTAAATGATTCACATTTTATATTTAGTTCATGTGATTTTAATCATGCTGCCAAATCTTTGGAGAATGGAGCTTTTATGACAGGTGAATTGCAGCGTTTTGGGCCCATTCATTTGAGCCCATCTTCTGGGGTCTTAAATTATGGACAGGTTAGTGCTATATCATTGTGTAAATAGTTTCCAGTTAGCTGTTTTCTGCTGTGTCTGTGATTTCCACTTGTGGCGGCACTTAATTCTTTCTAACGACTGGGTAGCAGCTTTATTGAACTCAAGGTGGTTGATTTACTGAAAGAGCTAGTTTTTATAACCCCTCTTGTGAGATTAAGCTCATGTGTTGTAAGCCTGTTTCAATTTCTTAGCTTAAATTTGGATTTTGAAAGTTCATCTTGTCTTACAATCCGGTGCTTTTCCTTATGAGGCAGTCCTCCACATTATGAGTTTTATTGTTCACATGATGCGACATCTTACAATCCGGTGCTTTTCTTTATGAGGCAGTCCACATTATGAGTTTTATTGTTCACATGATGCGACTCACTGATATTTAGTCTTGTGTGGCCAGACTGAAGTGTAGTGCCACTTTCTTTTTTGTTTGCAAGTATTGCATGACAATATTACACTCATTTTCTGTTCAAGGTATAATGTAAAAGACATTTTTGGCGTATGATATGATTTCCAAGACTTGCAATATGCATAACTGGTTTTTTGACATTATGTGCAAGAGAACCATTGTTCTTGTTTTATTTGAAAAATGATTTCTAGCATTCTTTGAAGCCCAGGGAGTATTTGAAGGTATGAAGGCATATAGGAAAGTGGATGGATCTATTCTTTTATTTCGTCCGGAGGAAAATGCGTTGCGAATGAGAATGGGTGCTGAGCGGATGTGCATGCCTGCACCAACTGTTGAGCATTTTGTGGATGCTGTAAAGCAAACTGTCCTGGCTAACAAGCGTTGGGTATTATATAGTTAACATGTCATTGTTGTGGAAATAATATAAACATTAACCAAATGGCCTTTTCTGTATTAAACCCATTTTGCTTAAATGCAGGTGCCCCCTCCTGGTAAAGGATCATTGTACATTAGACCTATGCTCTTGGGTACTGGACCTGTCCTTGGTGTTGCTCCTGCTTTGGAATACACTTTTCTTATTTTTGTTTCACCCGTTGGGAATTATTTTAAGGTTTGTATAAGAACTCATTAAAGAGGTTGTTTTCTTTTTTTATTGTTGCATTGTATAATATAGAATTATTCTCCCTTTTTTCATTACCCTTTTTCATCTATCAAATGTGAGTTTTTATGGTAAGAAAATCAAAGCTTATTAGAATAACAATCGACAACTTTTGATCTATGGGAAATGTTTTTCATTTAGATTGTTGATTGTTGATTACTTTGATTTCTTGATTATTTCAGTTTGTTGTTCCTTGCTCATTCTTTTTTTTTAATCTTTTAATTGATTAAATTAGTTATGCTCTTTCGCATAGTAACATCAAGCATCAGAAGCCACTGAATGCTATGATTCTTCTAAAACTTCAGGAGGGTTTAGCACCACTAAATCTGATAATTGACACTGAAACTCATCGTGCGATTCCTGGTGGTACTGGAGGTGTAAAGGCAATTGGAAACTATTCTCCGGTAATTCACTTACAGCTTGCTCTAAGTTGGTGTATTAGTTCTTGCATCTCCCATTTTACTGTTTTGGTATGTTTTAATTTATAATCACAATATCTCAGTGTAAGCTGTTGCTTTACTAAAGTGTTTAAAAGTTTACTAGTACAATAGAAATGCTTGTCCCCGGAGCTGTTGCAGCTTTCTATCAAGTTTTTGGGTCAAAATTTGTTTTAAAAGGCAGGAATATTTTCTGATGGATGTTGATGCAAGTTTGCCTTATTTAACAATTTATGTTATTGTTGAACTGTTGTTGCTGCATAAATATCCTTGGGGTTCCCACACCTTGTTTTTGATAATCTTTGCCTGATATTATTAATCAATCTGTTTGTT